ACTGTACTACATCTGAGACTCGTGAGGAAAGAAGTTTTGGTTCTGACAGTCTGCTTCTAAACGTGTATGAAACATGAACTGCACCAAATTCTAACCTGCTTAAATCTAATCTTTCCTCTGGCGCAAAGACTGAAAGTCCGGCAGAAATGAGAAAGAGGAATAATGCATTGGGGTATGAGAGATAGAAGGCGACCATTTTCTAAACTACCACACCAGAGGAGTCATTCCAAGAACAGTGTGTGCAAACAAAACACCCTCGACGCATAAAGAAGGCTAGTCTTCTGAAGGAGGAGGTCATTAAGTAGATGGCTGGTAGGAGAGTGGGCTTTATTTGCTCACAAAGACCTGTTTTGCTTTAATCCACCATGAGCTGTGATGTGTTAAATTGCACCGGTGTCAGAAAATAACAGGCCTTCACACAATAACACACACCCTTGTCATTAAGAAGGGCTCACGCAGAACCACCGTCTTGAAGCAGGGGGGTGGGGTGTGGGGGATCAAGTCACAGCGTTGTTTTCAGTGTAACAATGTGTAATTTGCCTTCTGCAGCCCTGAACGATGTGCCACTGCAATTATAATAGTCACATTGCATCAATTAAGACAACAAAGCCAAGAGCCTCATTACGAGATATTTTGTCTCAATTCAAATATTTTGTGACAGGGTACATTGGAGCTTTCCTCACACACCGGATGACAAGGCACAGACGGAGATTGGGTGCATGTATTTTTGCGATTGTGACTATTCACCAGCCAGACCAACAAACAAAGCAATGGCTGAAGTGAAACACTGGCAGACCGATTTATCAACCAGGCCAATTAATCGTCCAACAATTGCCAATTTGAGATATTGTGCCTGCTTGGCTAATTAACAAACTTATTTGCATATTTTCGGTTTACAGTTATTTTTGAGTGAAATATTATGTAAAACCAACGTTATTACCAAAACCACTTAATTTCAGAAATTTGTTCTCAATAAAAAAAAAAAAGGTACAGGACATGCTACAGTTTAAAATTTCGAGTCAGTAAGGTTTTCTTTCTTTATTCCTTTTTAAGAATTAACAGATGCAAAGATGACAAGGATACATTATTCATCAAAGATGACAGTAAATACATTTATAATTAACAAAAAATCATGCTGTTCATTTTGTCTTTCTATTAAAAGGATCTTGACCAAAAAAATAAATAAATAACGGTATGGTATAATTATAACGGTATAATAATTATAATGGTATTATAATAATAATAATGGTATAATTATTCACAAAAATATTAAGATTAAGAATGATTTCTGAAGGATCATGTTACACTGGAGACTGGAATAATGGCTACTAAAGATTCAGCAGCTTGGCCTTCAATGGAATAAATTAAATTTTAAAATATATTAAAATAGAAAAACTATTTTTACATTTTCACAATATTACTGTTTTCACTGTATTGACGATCAAATAACTGCAGCCTTGGTGAGTATAAAAGACTTAAAAAAAATAAAAAAATCTTAGCGACCCCAAACTTTTAAACAGTGCTGTGTGTGTATATACTGTATACTGCACATATACATGCATACAATTATATAAACATCAGAATTAAATGTTGAAAACCCCACTTGGTTGACCAATAAATCAGAGAAAAGTATGAGAACATTCTAGAATGCTGAGAAAGGTCCAGATGTCTGCACGCGTCTCCACATATCTCCCAACAGCATCGGGCCAGTTTGTGTAACAGGTGGCTGGGTTTGCACCCCGGCATGGGTTGCGAGCACAGCACCATTAGTATCAGCATACTTTTCTAAACTTGCTAATGAACATCTCTCTTACAGCTACCACCTGGCTGGAGCGACCCTCTGAACACCAGCCATCTGACGTATCAGTGACGGAATAATTAGTTCATTATTGGCAGGCCTTTGTGGGAAAAGATAAACACAAAATTATTTTAGTTAAGATTTAATATAATATTTCATAACAGTTGAGCTCTGACAGGTGCTGTTCTGTTGTGTGAATAGAGTTTGTTAAATAAATACAATTTCCAGTACTCCATACTAAATTATTACTGTAGATTGTATTGATTCACTGAACTGGAGAGAATCTTAACATGAACAGGAGAATTATGAGTTTATCTTTGCAGGTGGAGAGGTTGTTGAGTACACCTTAGCTGCAGGTAATATTAGCGTGATGACTTTGAGTTTTGAGGAAAGGGCAAACACTTATGCATGGTACAAATTTCCAATTTTCTCGGTGCTGATAAGTCTTGATTCTAACCCTGATAACAGATTTTTACATCATATAAAACCAACTTCAACAAATGACAGTCTGCTGGCCTTTCCAACTGTGCGCAATCAGTGAGAAATACAGTCTAGTGTGGAAAAAAACTCTCTATAATACATTATACATATACGTATATACACTACCTTTCAAAAGTTTGAGGCTGTAAGATGTCTTTTTTTGTGTGAAAAAAGTTTCTTACAGTATGTGCATCAAGGCTGCATTTATTTGATAAAAAATACAGTAAAAACAGTAATACTGTGAAATATGATTGCAATTTAAAACATTTAATATATCTTAAATGTCATTTATTTCTGTGATGGCAAAGATGAATTTTCAGCAGCCGTTACTCCAGTATTCAGAGTCACATGATCTTTCAGAAATCATAATAATATGCTGATTTGGTGCTCAAGAAACATTTCTTATAGTTATCAATGTTGAAAACAGTTGTGCTGCTTAATATTTTTACCTTTTTACTTTAATTAATAGAAAATTAGAAGACAGCATTTATTTAAAATAGAAACCTTAAATTATAAATGGTTTTACTGTCACTTTTGATCAATTTAATGCATCCTTGCTGAATAAAAATATTCTTCTTAAAAAAAAGTTTGAACAGTAGTGTATTCATCTACATTTGCATCTATATTATTTCTATTGTCAATTATGTTCCATCAATATCAATTGTTATGTAATTTGGGAACAGATACAAATCTTAGAAATAACTAATTAAAAGCTGTCTCACCCACCTCTGCATAAACATTTGGTCATATTGGGAGCTCCAACTGATGCCAGCCCCAAAGTTTTTCCAGTATCATGGCAGATGGTGGGACAGACCACTGCTTCTGCTGGCCTCACCATCTGTGAGGTCTTTGCGAGTGAGTCGATCCATTTTGCGGAGACCTTCTGAACCTCTCCAGCAGCCTGTGGCAGCATTTAAGCACCTGCAAACTTGCATGGAGACCTCGCTTTATCTTTGGCCACAGAGGGGGAGAGACACAGGGAAAAGTGTCTGGACAGGGACAACTGAAGCTATACATTTTTCATTAAAACCCTAACAAAACACTTGGTGACACAGTGACTGCAGTGAGCAGTATGTCAGAAACAATTAAAGGATTGGTATCTCAGGGCAGAACATATGCTCTATCTGAGGGGGGCACACCCTCTATTCTCCCTTATCTCACTGTGGAGGATCTACCAATATCTTGGGCTCCCGAGATTGTAACATGAAAATAATCAAACATCACAAAAAATGCAAACCACATAAAACAAGGCATTTTTTAAACCACTTTCTATAAAGGTTGTATGCATTAATGCATTATAAAGGCATTTCTAATATATAACATAAAATACCTTAAATCAGTTTTATGATCTCATAAACAAATTGTAACATTAATAAAATGTAAAAAATAACTAATAATGGCTATATCTTTATAAAAACAAGCATTAAAGTATTAAATTTTACTCTTAAATATTATCATTATTTGTTAGAAGATAAAATGGATTGCAACATGTACTTTATGGCTTTATGAAATTCTTTATAATGCATCAAAAATGCCTTTTTCAATGCATTTGAAATATATGTTATAAGGTACGGGATGTGATAGTCTATGAAGGATATTTGCTTATGTCATATGCTCAAAAATTGCTGCATAAGAGGAGGAAATGACTTTCAGTGATATACTCAGTCAAGCCATTGATCCTGACTATAAATAATTAACACATATTGCTGTAAGATGAGATGCTAGTTCCTGTTCACCAAGAGTTTAGATGACCATTTCTTTCAGAGAAACTCCTGAACATACTCTAAGAGTAACTTATTCATACAAAGTCTGAGCAAGAAATTGTATCTTTAATTTTTTTCTTAAATCGCAGATTTTTTTAGGGTATAAGGGTTTATACACTGAACAAAATTATAAACGCAACACCTTTGTTTTTGCCCCCATTTTTCATGAGCTGAACTCAAAGATCTAAGACTTTTTCTATGTATACAAAAGGCCTATTTCTCTCAAATATTGTTCACAAATCTGTCTAAATCTGTGTTAGTGAGCACTCCTTGCCGAGATCATCCATTCACCTCACAGGTGTGGCATATCAAGATGCTGATTAGACAGCATGATTATTGCACAGGTGTACCTTAGGCTGGCCACAATAAAAGGCCACTCTAAAATGTGCAGTTTTATCACACAGCCCACTGCCACAGATGTTGCAAGATTTGAGGGAGCGTGCAATTGGCATGCTGACTGCAGGAATGTCCACCAGAGCTGTTGCCCGTGAATTGAAAAGGAGATATGTTGCGCTGCGTGAAGCAAATGGTGGTCACACCAGATACTGACTGGTTTTCGGACCCACCCCCCCGGACCCCTGTACAGTAAAACTGCACATTTTAGAGTGGCCTTTTATTTTGGCCAGCCTAAGGCATCTAATCTAGCTGTCTAATTAGCATCTTGATATGCCACACCTGTGAGGTGGATGGATTATTTCGGCAAAGGAGAAGTGCTCACTAACACAGATTTAGACAGATTTGTGAACAATATTTGAGAGAAATAAGCCTTTTGTGTACATAGAAAAAGTCTTAGATCTTTGAGTTCAGCTCATGAAAAATGGGGGCAAAAACAAAAGTGTTGTGTTTATAATTTTGTTCAATATATATATATATATACCTGTATATATATATAATGTTCACATTATCTTATATGAACCTTTTTTTCTTCTACCCCTAAAGACTCACAGAGATGCTAATTAAAAACAACATTGTGACAAAATCCAATCTCACAAAAATTACCCATAAAAGATTTTTGGTATTGGCCAAACAGTTTATTACATTATATTACAATGCATGCATACATTTCTATACACCATCATATACATAGCCTCTAGCCATAATTATAAGAGAAATAGGTAGATTACGGTGTATATGAAATCACATATAATTGCATATGCCATTAAAGTATAATTATGGCGATTAGCTTAGTAGATCTGGCTAGTGCAGGTCATCAGTAGTTAATAATAAAAGTTTAATAAAACCCGAATCACATTTCTTACATCCATATAAGCTCATTACCTTCAGGGTTCATCTACTTGACCAACTGAATTTCAGAACCAATTAAAGACCCGATGAAATCAAAATTTTGTGGCTTTTAGTCCATAGGTATTACCTTTGAGAATATCTATATGCCTAAAGCTTGACCATATCTATGCCCAAAGCTTGACAAAATTAACTATTAAATAGCGGTGCATACACTACTGTTCAAAAGTTGGGAGAATGTGAGATCCTGATTTGGTGCTGAAGAATCATTTCTTCTTATTAGCAAAGTTAAATCAGTTGTGCTGCTAAATATTTTAGTGGCATATTCTTTGGTATAGAAAGTTCAACAACATTTATTTAAAACAGATTTTTTTTTAAATTGTGTCTTCACCTTTGATGGTTTTAATGAATCATTGTTCTTTTTTTATTAAAAATAAATAAATACAAATCTTACTGGCCCCAAACTTTGTATATAATGTATGAACAAGCTACAAGTCTTTCTCTGAGATATTTAGCAAAATATCTGAGCTTCTATTCTCTGTACAATGGAAGTGAATGGTGACCAGGAGTTCTCAAGCTCCAAAAAGGACCACAAAGCACCATAAAGGCATACTAAAAATGTTTTAGTCCATACAACTAAAAAAGCAGCTTGAACAGTCTGCTATAAATAACTCCTTTTGTGCTCCACTGAGCAAGGAAAGTCATACAGGTTTCACATGAGGGTGTATTAATGATGACAGAATTTGTAATTTTTGGTTGAACTTCTCCTTTATTATCTTTCAGAGACCAACATCTCAAAGCTAGTGTCAGAATTACATGGTCTATGTTCTGGTTGGTTGCAAGTTTTGGGTAAATTGTACTTTCCTTTAGGAATCAAATTGGATTTCATGTCTCAGTAGTCTCTCAGGTCAGGGTGCAATATACCAACTCTCTGTCGCCACAGAATTACAAATGCGTAACTCCATTTTGAGAAATAAAGTTATGAGCAACACACATCCTCTCCCCTCTGAAAGTTTTCCAGTTTTGTTCAAAACTGCATCAGCAATGGGAGAACATCTGAGCACTCAATCTACAATCAGCACACTCACTGTTGCTTTTGAAGGCTGGCACCTGTGTCACTTATACCTCCTCTCAGCACGGACGGGAAGTTAATTAACTGCCTGTAGGACCAGCAGGGGCCTTTGACAGGCACCGAGTTGGACACATTCTGTTCCACAAGCGTTTATAGTGATGAATTAGCTCTGCCGCCCACCTCCACATCCCCACCATCGGTTTTGTCCTTTGCCCATCCTAAGCAGCAGTGCTGGCTATCTGCTGGGGAACTGCTGCTCCCTAGAGCCACAGCGTCACGTGACAGCGCAGCGCTCACTCCATCCACAGTAGCGGAGAGATGAAACACAGCAAGTCTTTAAAAAACAGCTAGGGAGTTTAGCAACTTTTGATTATTTTCATGCACAAATTGTCACAGTACTTTCTGCGAGACTGCAAGCGAGGCTATAAAATTATAATAAATAAGTACTTACAAAATATACTTTTTTACCTGTAGTATTGTATCTGTTTTTTGAAGGAGATACACACACACACACACACAAGTCTTCCCCATGATTGTGTAGCCTAGTGAACCAAACTGAGAGACCATTTTGAAGGCTCAGGAAACCTTTGCAGATGTTTTGAGTTGATTAGCTGATTGGCATGTCACCATATTCTAATTTGTTGAGATAGTGAATTGGTGGGTATTTGTTAAATGTGAGCCAAAATCATCACAATTAAAAGAACCAAAGATTTAAACTACTTCAGTCTGTGTGCACTGAATTTATTTAATACACGAGTTTCACAATTTGAGTTGAATTACTGAAATAAATGAACTTTTCCACGACATTCTAATTTATTGAGATGCACCTGTATATAAATAAAACATTTTGTAAATATTTTATTAGGTATAAAATAAAAAAATAAATAATATAGAAAAATCATTATTTTTCACTCACTCACTCACTCATTCTATATTATTTTAAGGACATTTGTGTTTCGTAAGCCCTTTAACCCAAAAGTGTTGGACTGTGAAGATGGAGGTGATATCTGACCATAGTCGGTCATGTTATCTGTATTTATGTAATCATGTTTTAAAAGGCCATTGCGGTATTCTGAAACATTTGCAACTAGACATTTCTGTCATTTCACAACCCGTTATCTAATGAATGATGACAAAGGAGCTCTATGTGAAAATGTTGAATGAGATATGAAGTGTTCCTGACCTATAGAACTCCCTCCCTGTCCTTTTGTGAAGCATTGCTCTATTGCAGACTGTCCGTGACCTTGACCAGCAATCAGTCAAGTGTGGGTAGGGACTCACTTACACACACACACACACACACACACACTTAAGCCAATATCCAATCCTTCGAGGGCCTGGAGGCCAAATAAACAGTCTGTGTCTGACACCCCTTAACTCTTACTATCATATTATTTTGGTATGGGTCAGAAGTTATGGTGTTATTGCTGCACACTTGCATAATACAAACAGACATCCCACTGGATAATATACTTCTACTGTATCTTAGTAATCTAGGTGCACTGTTTTTTTTATTAATACATAAAAGTTCATCTAACTTAATATGGATCTGTTGATATTACCAATTTTTATTGGGAAATCAAGTAAATAGGTAAATTTAAAGGGGCCCTATTATGCTCTTTTACAAAGTCTTGATTTTGTTTTGGGGGTGTACTAGAACAGGGTCTCATACTAGGTTGTTCGAAATATACATAATTTTTCACATATTTTACATTATTACAACACCTCTCTCCCCAGTCTGGTATGAACGGCTCAAATAGTTTCTGTATCAAATGAAGGCCCACCTTCTGAAATACGAAATGTGCTGTGATTGGTTAGCTGGGCCAGTGTGTGTTGTGATTGGCAGCACTCGGCGCCTGGTCGGGAAATGTCATGCCCCTTACCATAGCCGCCTGCTGCGAGCTTCAGTGTAAATATGGCGTCAATATCAAGTCAATTTGAGCGCGATTTAAACCCGGATGATTGTAACCACTCCAAGTTCGTCTGCCTTGGGGAAACTAGCATGTCTCCGACAGATAACACTCGTTGCCTTCTCTAGTGCAGCTCAACCAGGTCTCGTCCCATTCGTCAATATTTGTGATATCACAAATCCCGGAAAATATGCATTGCAGTCCAAACGAGTCGTTCGCTGTAGTTTTTGAAAAGTGATTTCTTTTAAATAAAATATCTCCTTTTGAAGTGGACTTTGAGCTTTGTAACTTCGCAGATCTTTTTTATGCTCAAACAGCAACATTACAAACTAACTAAAGTTGAAAAAGTGAAAAAGCATAATAGGACCCCTAAATTTTTTTTAAAAAGTATGCTTAACTAGCTAAAACCTTAAAGGGGTCCTATTATGCTTTTTCACTTTTTCAACTTTAGTTCGTTTTTTTTTAATCTTTCAAAGGGTTTATTGTGTGGAAGAAGAACAGTTAGCATGCTCTGCTGTATTGCAGTCTATGAGAAGCTTCCAGTGAAGCATGCTGGGTCAACTTGTCAAAATTCTTCCTCTTGTGGTGACAAGTTGAGACGTTATTTAGACAAACCACACAGACCAGACCAGTATATGCACTGTCATGGTTGACAACAGACCAACTGCTGAGCAGCAAAGACATATTCCAGCACTCCAACTGCCAAACTTTACTTCTTAGGACTTCTTAAGACTCTTTAGAGCAGAAGACATTTATTATGCACAGTACAGTCACTACAAAGAAGAAGAAAACTAACATACTAGAGGAAATTGCAGATTGTTTATCTAGTACGTCGTAAAGACTAAAAAACTCCATTTACTCTCCTTCAGAAATGCGTGTGGCACAGTAGAGATGTTAAAAATGGTGAGTGAACAGAAACATGCGGTCCTGATATATCAGGGATGGATGTGTAAGCCGAGGAGTTAAGATCAAAGTAGCTTGGATATGAATGTCTGCCCAGTGGATTGGAGTAGGGCTACCTCCTGCTCTACCCAGCATGCATACCGATGAATTCAACACTCAGCCTCTCCCTTTAATATACATGCAAAGATCCCCTGTGAGAACCAGACGGTGGAGCAGATTGACTAGACATACATAATACAGACAGTATACTGCCAAAGTATCCTTTTGTATTGTCTCTATGTAAACATGTGATGTTTGAAATAGTATGCATTATGTGATGGTGAAAATGTCCATCTCTAATATGCTAAACTATCATCACATGACCTCATTATGTCACGTTGTATTCACGTTAAGTGGGATCTAGTTATTATCTCTAAAATCAAAGTCGTTTGTTTGCATTTTTATTTATTTATTTAAATTGTGTTGCTTGGCAGGCAGATAAGTCAAATTCAACTTAAAAATGAATTATTCAAAACTTTAAATATTAAATAAAAATAAAGTTAAAAGAGAGAAAAGAAGGAGATGTTAATAATGTTATTAATTCAAAAATCATTCAAGAATATTCATTATCATCTCTGTTAGGGCTGGGCGATATGACGATATTATCGTATATCGACGATGTCTTGTAAGTATCGCGATGTCGATGTCAACAGTCAGGTAACAGATGATTATCGACATTATCGGGGAAAAAAATGAGAAATGATAAATCTAGTAAGTTGCAAAAAATATTTTACAAAGCCCCATAGTCACCATACAGGTCTTTTTGCATGCAAGAATGAAATAATTTAGTAGGAGGGTTGGGAATCGAAAAGCTATTCCAATTTCGGAATTCAGATCAGATGCTTAAAAGGGTAATATGATGTTGCTAAAAAGAACATTATTTTGTGTATTTGGTGTAATTAAATGTGTTTATGTGGTTTAAGGTTCAAAAAACACATTATTTTCCACATACTGTACTCCTCTATGCCCCGCCTTTCTGAACCGTGTAGATTTTTACAAAGCTCATCGGTCTGAAAAGCGAGGTGTGCTCTGATTGGCCAGCTATCCAGTGCGTTGTGTTTGGCTGAATACCTCTAGCGTGTGACGGAAATGTCACGCCCCTTAACATACTGTGATGCCCTGTCAGGCCGCAGCGAGGAGACAAAAACATTAAAACCCATTACAAATGAGGCATTTGTTGCACCCAGTGGGGACATAATTACGGATTATAATGACTTATACTGTCTTTTTACGCGTTGAATTGCGCCGCGTAAACATATAACCATGTCTGCATTTGTGATCGGAGAAATGACAAACAACAAGCGCTACTCTACACTGCTCAAAACTTGCGTTTGAATCGTCAGTGGCAAATTCTTTATATATAAAAAACGTACTTACAGTCTGTGAGTTAGAACAGCCGGCATTGTAGTCTACTCTCCCAGGATCAGGAAACAGTCCTCCATAAAATGTGCAGCACACATCTGAATATTTGGGTTGAACTGTTCTGGAACAGTGTTGTAAATACAACTTAACCACTGATTTCTAGTCGTGTCCTCTTTTGGAAGGCCAAACAAAGTAGTTTCGCTTTCACAACGAAAAACACAGCGGCCTAGCGTGAG